TTGCCCACCCTCTCTGGTAACCATCAATCTTTTTTCTTTTTCTTTTTTCTCCCCAAGTCCCCCCAGTATCTAGTTGTATACTTTTTAGTTGTGGGTCCTTCTAGTTGTGGCATGTGGGACGCCGCCTCATCATGGCCTAATGAGCAGTGCCATGTCCGCGCCCAGGATCCGAACAGGTGAAATCCTGGGCCGCCAAAGCGGAGCGCGCGAACTTAACCACTCGCCCACAGGGCCGGCCCCCAATCTTTTTTCTTTATTCATGTGTTTGTTTATTTTCCACATGAGTGAGATCATAAGGTATTTGCCTTTCTCTGTCTGACTTATTTCTCTTAGCATAATACCCTCAAGGTCCATCCATGTTGTTGCAAATGTGAACCCTAACTTTTGATGTTCTATTTATTTGTTGATCTTGTCCCCTCCCCCCATTTTTTTCTTTTGAAATTTTTCTAAGCTACACACAAGTTAAAAGAATAGTACGATGGACACCCATATTCCCTTCACCTCAGTTCATCAATTGTTAACATGTTGCCTTCTTTGCTTTATTTCTCTCTATATATACCTTTAGGACCAATTTTTTCTTGATGAACCATTTGAAAGTAAGCTGCAGAAGTCATGAGACTTTATTCCTCACTACTTCAGTGTACATCTCCAAAAAGTCAGGCCATTCGTCTACAAAACTGCAGTACAGAATAGATGCATAGATTTTTTTCAGTGTGTTATAACACACAAAAGTTGTTCAGATTTTCTCAAATTTAGCCAATGGGAGAACTTTCAAGATGGCTTCAGGGGCGCAGTGAATGTAATGGATATAAATTTAGCTGAAAAGTTGGGGGCATCATGGCCAGTGGAGCAAATCAGAGTCCCAAGACTCTGGGGTTTCTCTTAAGGTCTCAACTTGTCCATGTCAGATGGTGAGGGTGACGTTAATACTGCTGGGGAAGGCCCTTTGTCGAACACTTCATGTGCAGTATCTCATTTAATCCTGGCAACTGTTATTCCCATTCTATAGATGAGGAAATTGAGGCCCAGGGAGGTTCAAGGTCGCACAGTGAATAAATGATGGAGCCAGATTTTTAAACCCAAAGCCTGGGCTTGCGCCGCTGCGCTGATAAAGTAGTAGGAGTGTAGGTGCGTTAATCTCACCTGGGACACAGTGGCGGCAGGGCATCAGCTTGGGAAAAATAAAGAGGATTTACCTCTTCACCTTTCTTCTCAAAATTACTTTCAGATACTACCCTCAGTGGGCCAGTTAGACTCCAATCGCTTAAATGAAACTAGACCGGAAGTTCTTTAATAGATTTAAGGAAGTTAAGGAAAATTAAATATTATTTTTGAAATGTATATTTTTTATTTTAAGAGATAATTACATTCATAAAAATGGAAATTCGTGGGACAGATCACCTGCATCTCACCCATCGTCTTACCAATTACTTTTGACATTTTTTTCTCTTTTAAAATATTTTTTGATTAGATGTGATCATAATGTCTCTAAAATGTTGTCTCCTGCATTTTTATCTAGTAAGCAAAATAACTTTTGATAATGAAAGCCTACTAGAGCTTTTATTTCCATCTGAACCCATGATTAATTTTTATGAGTCTGATTTTAAAAAGTGGTCTAGATAAAATGTACCAAGTACCCAGGGAGGGGCTGGTCTGGAGGGAAAGACAGATGTAGACACAGTAATCCTGTAAGGGGAGGGACCAGGCACTGTGCTGCGGACACATGGAGGAAAGGCAGATGATGGTTGCACCTTGGGGAAATAGTTCACCGACAAGGTGAAATTTGAACTGAATTGTTTAGGATGGATAGGACTTTGCAGAGGCTGGGGAAAGGGTTTCCTGTAAAAGGTGAAGACTGGGCAAAGTCAGAGAGGTGGTAAAGACCTCGACTTGGTTGGGTGTGGGCAGTTGGAATTCAGGAGACCAAAGGGACTGATAGCGAGGAGGCTGGGCAGGTGGGCAGTGACTAGATGGGTGGCCCGGGGTGCTATGTGAAGGGGGTTAGACTAGATCCATTAAAGCCATTGGAAAGTTTTGAGCAGCAGAAGTCTTGCATCTCATTTGCTTTGCAAACTGTTCCCTTTGATATCAGTGTACAGGATAGACAAGAGTCCAGAAGGGGATGTGTTAGGAGGATGTGGTCGATATCAAGAGAAATCTGAAACAGGTGCTGTTATATGGTAAATTTACATCTTTAGTGTACAAATTACAAGAATGCCAGATGTACTAGTAACTTTTAAGGTAATGTCTAGGGCTGCCATGTATGGTTGCGCAGGTTATTCATTGCACAACAGTGGCTGGCCAAGGAGTTGGAGGCAAAATCTGGACCCACTTCTTGCCAAGCTGTGAACCCTTGCATGGACCGTATCCAGCCAGAGGAGGTTCCGTTTTCCAAATTGCACAAAAGCAATATGGCTAACAGCAGCCCCAATAACTCCCTTTTCCAAGCAAGGCCCAGAATGAATTTCTTTAGAATAAGCGTTGAGATAAAGTATCAAGACACCAAGAGACAGAGAACAGTTGAACTCCCCATTACTTTCTACCAAAGACAGCAGTACTTAGCTAGTAAGCAGTAGTTAGCTAGTACCAGCTCTACTTTTCAGCCATGAAAAAGGTGACATTACCTCAAAGATCTGAGAAGCCCGGGACCCTCAAGCATAGTCCATGCCCAGTTCTATGAGCAGAAATACACAACTGCCTTTAAGAGCTACGATATCCAGCCGTAACCGTGTTATCTTACGGAGGTAGATTCAGTGGTCAGCATGCTGAGTACACACCCTGCACAACGTGCAGACATAGGCCCTGGACAGGGAGAGACTTGACTGAGAAATTTTGCAACATTCTGTGTTTTTATTCATTGTGCTAAGATGCACCGTTTGGTTTTGGGGAAAGGCACGCACAAATTTTTGTTGTGATTTAGGTCAGAACAACTAGAACAATAGTCACCTTTGTTAATCCCAATGTTTTCCCACAAAAAACATTAATTTTTTCATTCCTTGGCAAATTTTGATTTCAAGCCTGAAAGAAGGATGTGACAGCTGTCTCCTAGAATGGGGCCCTCAGAGAGTGTTCTGTCATCATACACCTTGCAAGGAGGGATCTTCTTGTCCGGGGCTTGATGCAGATGGTTCCCGAAGTTTACTTTTGTTTCTGTAGGAGGTAGTGAGAATAGTGGACATGGCTGGAGCAGCAGATGGCAGGCTGTGGTCTGCGGGCCCAGTCAGGCCTGGGAGCTAAGAGGGGTGCTTACATTTTTAAATAGCTGAAAAAAGTCAAAAGAAGAAGAATGTTTTGTATTATGTAAAATTCAAGCTTCAGTGTCCATCAACAACTTTCTATTGCCACACTCATTCGTGTATTATCTATGGCTGTTTTCATGCTCCAACTGCAATATTGTCTTAGTGACCGAGACCATATGGTCTGCCTAAAGTACTTACTGTCTGGCCCTTTACAGAAAAGTTTGTGACCCCTACTCTAGAGAAACAGTTTAAAGATGTAGAGGACTGATGTATTTAAAATGTCTGTAACTCTATCTTAACAAAATAAGCTTTATCGAGATATAATTGGCATACAATAAACTGCACAAATTTAAGGTATATAATTGGATAAATTGTGATGTATGTCAATACTCATGAAAGCATGACCACAATCAAGATAGTGATGTAGCCATTACCTCCTTGTGCCCCTGTGTAACCCCTGCCTCCTGTCCCTTCCTGTCCCCCATCGTCCCTAGCAAACACTGATTGGTTTTCTGTCACTATCGATTAGTTTGCATTTTCTATAGTTTTATATAAATGGAATCCTACAGGAAGTGCTCTTTTTTGATCTGGCTTATTGCACTAAGTAATGTTCTTTTGAGATTCATTCGTGTTATGGTGTGTCCATAGTTCATTTCTTGTCATTGCTGAGTGGTATTCCATTGTGAGGCTATAGCATAATTTGTTTATTCGTTTACCTCTTGATGAGCAGTTGGGTTTTTTCCTGTTTTTGAGCATTGCAGATATAGCTTCTGTGAACCTTGTGTACGAGTTTTGCATGCACATATGCCTTCTTTTCTCTTGGGTAAATACCTAGGAGTGAAATGGCTGGATCACATGGCAGGTGTATATTTAGCTATTTAAGAAACTGTCAAATGGGTTCAAAGTGGTTGTACCATTATACGTTCCCCAGCGGTGTTCGAAAGTTCCTGTTCCTCCATGGGAGCCAACACTTGCTGTTATCCAACAGCATCTGAACTATCGATTTATGTCAAGTACAAGGCTGACTAATTTAGGCTGTGTGGACCACCAAAAAGTTGATTCAGATTTAAAAAGCAACTTTGGGGTCTGAAGAATCCAGATATGCTGAGACAAGTGATTGAATAAATGCAGTCATAACCACAGAATCCCCTCTATCAGTGTGGTTAAGATCTTGACTTTTTATACACTGGGCAGCAAATGTCACTGGTTAATTCTCAGCGTTCATAAAGTGTGTCATTTCCTCATCCCCACCCGACCCCGTTCTGGCATCAAGGTCCTCTGAGACACTCTAAGTTTCTCCCATGGGTGTGGGTCAAAGGGGAGCTTGTCAAAAACACAGGTTTCTGGGCATCATTCCCAGGATTCTGATCCAGAGTTCTAGGTGGGGGCCCAGGAACCTGCATTTGACAGGCACTGGTGTCGAGTCTGTTGGACACACTATTGGACCCAAGCGTTGTAATTCCTACACCCACTATTATCAGGATCATTTCAACCCTCTCCCTCCTCCCTGGGATTTTTTTTAAACAATAAGCCAGAGTCCATGATAAAATCTATGGGAGTAAACTAATGTGTTCATAGGAGGTAAATCTTTTTTTCTCAAGAGTAACCATTTATTCTCTCAAAGAGTTTATGTACTGAGTTCATTCCCTTGAGTAGTATAGTCACTATCAAAACTGTGGTTGGAATGTTTGTTTCTGTTAATTGTATAGTGAAACTTAAATAAAACTTTGCTTTTCTCTTTTTAAAATTTACTCTGCTTAGAACTATTTTGGTGGAAAACTCTCTGCTCAAGGGAAAATGCCTTGGATTGAGTATAACCACGAGAAAGTTTCTGGCACAGAATTCATAATTGACTTTCTGGAAGAGAAGCTTGGAGTAAATTTAAACAAAAACCTCGGCCCTCATGAAAGAGCCATCTCCAGGGCAGTGACCAAGATGGTGGAGGAGCATTTCTACTGGTGAGTCTCTCCGGCGCGCTGGGCGGGTGCCCAGGGCCTGGCCCCATCCGTTGGGGTGAGCCAAGTTCTCTTTCACTGTTCACACACTCCCCTCACTTTTTCAAAAGTTTTCTACATTCTGACTGACTTAGGGGTCAAGGTCAGACTGTTGAGTTTCTAGATAGCTAGAGTGGGGTGGGCATTTTGTGTAGAGTCCCAGACAGAACGTAGTTTAGGCTTTTTAGGCCATATGTCTCTGTAGTAACTATTCCACTCTGCTATTCTGGTACAGCAAATGAACAGGCAGGACCGTGTTTCAGTAAAACCATAAAAGCACTGACATTTGAATTTCATTTATTACAAAATATCATTCTTTTGATTTTTTCCCCCAACCATTTAAAAATGTAAAAGCTTCTTAGCCCACGGGCTCCAGTTGGCTGACCCCTGATCTAGACTGGAACTCGCTGGGGCGAGGGAGGTAGTTTCACTGACTGGGCTTTTTCCCCGTACAAACTGCTGAATTAAACTAACATTACATCAGCTACCCAGAGGAGGGAACGGAAGACTGAGTCAGGAGAGGAGTCTTAGGTGGAATGAATTACACAAGCTTTATACGATTGTTGTCACCTTGCCTTAGGTGACAGGAGCTTCTCTGTGTTTTAGAAGTGAAGCATGCTGCAGCATTCTGAGAGTCTTTGCCCTGGCTGGCTGACCCCCAGCTTGCATTCCTCATCAAGAGTCATGCACACCGTGCTCATGAGTTGCCCCTGTGCTGCATGTGGGTTTTGCCGGCTGTGACACCACCTGTGTTCAACAGACGTGGTTCTTCTCGCTTTACAAACTCATTGTCATGTGGGTTTTTTTCTATTTCTGTCATCCATTATCTGGAGTTTTAAGCACCTTTTTATACACCCTAGTAGATAAGGGAAGTTTTCTTCCTGATTTCTGCAAACTTTATCTTGTTCCAAAGATTTAATGAAGAAGAGCTAAGTCCGGTTTTGGGACATTAATTGTTACTCCTGGGTCAGGTGCTCACCCAGTCGATTCTGCCTCCCTCGCTGAGAGAGACCCTCCATGTGGGGTCGACTGTAGACGCTTCTTCCCCATTGCCTTCCTATTTCATCCATTCAGCTCTCTTCCTAAATGGAAAACTTGCTGTTCCCGTCTCTTGGAGTTTAAGTGACTCCCTGTTTTCTTTTCCTCTTTCTACTGTCAGTTCTTTCCTGGTTTATTCCAGGGCTGACCTGAAGCCCCACTTCTCTTCCTCTTCTCCTTATAAAGATGAAGGGGTGGGAGCCAGGAGGGACCAGGCAGAGAGTGGAGGCTGGGGTGCAGATCAGCATGGGTGTCCCTGGAATGACCCCAGGTCTTTTCCTTATAATAGCTTTGGGGGCCGGCTGGACCTTCCATCTCAGAGTTTGCAGAGTGGACTAAAATTCATGGCTGCTGTGGCATGTTAGCCTCAGGAAGAGCCTTGTGGGACAGAGCCGTCTCACCTGCTTGCCAGGTTCCAGTCTCTGCTTTGAGGCAATTGAGGGAAATGAAGAACCAGCCCGGGGCCACCCTGACCCTCTGTGCCTTCCCTTGGTGCGGCCCTCCGAAGCACTACCTCATTTGATTGATGGGCCCATTAATGTGGAAAGCTATCGCTTTGTCAGCTGCCTGAAAAGCTGAAAGCCTTACATTTTAGTTGGTACTTCTGCTGCAACTCTTTGATTTCTGTAGTGGTTCAAAAGTTGATATTCCAGCTAGAAAGACTTTGATCCACCAAGATTCCCAAGTACCACCCATCACTACTTCTTGCTCTGGGTGTGTGTGACGTTTTATATCTGTTTACTCCCTGGTAGAAGTTCATCTTTTGCTCTTCCCTCCCCTTCTCTCCCTACCTGGGCCACAGCTAATACGGCCCCTGGTCGGGGGCAGGGTGTGGTGGGGGAGAGATGGGTGGTGGTGGGGAGCGGTGGGAGGCAGAGGCGGGAGGCGGTACCCTGGTAGGGAGGAATCTTAATTTTATGGACCACAAACCCCCAAGTGCTTGGCGAGTTGCTTGGGTCACGTATAGACTCTTCTCTCTTTTTAATGAGAAAAGTACTTTTTTGGGTTAGCAACTCTTCCTCATTTATGTCTCTTCAAGGGTTAATTTGAGGAACAAATAGTGAAATTGGGAAGTCAGGTCTTGATTGACATGCAACTATCCAATGAACTTTCAAAAAAAATTCCCAATTCCTCCAATTCTCCTAGTCTCTAGCAGCAGAAGGAAAAGCAAACCTGTCTCTGTTTCCTAAGGTTTCCCAACTGTTAGCCTGCTTCTTGTTTTGTGGAGACCCTGAACAGGCTTTCCCCGAGAGCTCTAAATCCATGTGGAGAAAGGAACCCCCCACCACATGGTAAGAAAATGCCTGAGACAGAATCTTTGGCCACTCCTCCCTCAGGCTCGGCTCCTCTCTCCTGTCTCAGAGGCCACCAGCATAGGGAACTGACCACAACATGTAGGAAAATATTACCAGTACTAGCTTTCCATGAGCGTTTGCTCAGTTCTGACAATCAGTGCGCTCTAAGGTTGTGTGTGTACTTACAGAGGTGGAAGAGGTGCAATAAACTGTTTGACTCAATTGATTCAATCATCTGGAGTTTTCAGATATGTTTATTTTGGTCTGAAACCTTAAAAATACTCCACTTCAGGTATGATTTTCTGAAAAGCAAAGAGAATGGAAAGCTGCCATTATTATGTAACATCACAGTATTCTGAAGCTCTGTTTTAGGTCTTGTTCAAATGAGTACATTCAGCTATAAAGTGGGTTTTCTTGCACTTGAAATCCATATAATTATGTCCCACTTGCATTATAAAGCTGGTATTGAAGATGAGGAAGACTGGTTTTTATCCCCTTTGTTCCACTGAATGCTTAAGATAGCTCCTAAGCAGGGAAGCTGGTATGAAGGGAAGTCTGAGAAACAGGCAAACTACTGGAGTGAAATTGTGTTTTGGTAGCAGAGACCATAGCTTCTTCTGTGTGACATACTGCCCCCTTGTGGACATGTGAGTGTCTGCGAGTCTTCCAACCCCTTAGGGACGTGTGCACGGCACTGTTGTCCACCTGTCTAATGATAACATTTTCAGCCATAAAAATAGATGCATTAGAACAGAGAATTCAAATTCACTTGTAGGTTGGCCAACATTTTTAAATTTTGAGTTTGGCTTTTGGTATAGTTTTAGTGAATGAGGGAGGTGGGGTGCTTTAATAGAATGACTTACCCAAGACCTTCTCTAAAAGCCCAGAGACGCTCTCTCCCTGATGACAACTCGATGGATGTGTTCCCCTCTTCTTTCTTGGCCCCCCGCCCCCAAGTTTTAGATGTAGTGAGGGTTCCTGCTTGGAAGGGGCTAATCTCATGCCTGTGAAACTTGATGAAATTACAGAAGGATCATAGGCTCCTGCATCCTTGAGCATTTCAAATACAAGCAAAATATGGCAAGGACATAGCACAGCATGGAGAAAGGAGTCCTTCTGGTGGCCAAGGCCACGTGCTAAGCCGCATGCATCACACAGTGGTTTGCCAGGTTTGTCATTCCCCACACGTTAATAGTCGTTTCTGCTGTGGGCCAGGCCTCCTGTTGGGTTACAACGAGCGATGTCTTCATTAAAACATCAGTGGTTGGCTTTTCTTTCCTGTCTTCTTGGTCTCCTTTAAAAATGTTTGAGCAGGGTTTATTCTTCTGTTCTCACGAAGATAATCAATCTTTAAAAAAACCTCTTTGACCCCATTTTGCAGGAGAGACGAGCTACATCAGTTGTGATGGAGAAAATGAGTATCAACTTCCTGAAAGAGCCTCTCAGAATGATAAATTATTTTAATTGCTCAGCCTAGTCTGGTTTCCAGATTGGCCCTCCCTGTCCTCTCGGTTAATAATTCACAATTCCTGGTGCTCGGGGCCTCTCCCCAGTGGAGAGCGAAGACTCAGACCTCAGCGAACAGTGGCAGCCCCCTCCTCATTCTCCAGAGGCACTTTCTCTTTCCATTTTTCTATTTAAATATTGTCAGCCCTTAGAAGCACTACTTAGCAGTAGCTGGCTCAGAAGTGAAGCCTTTTTTCATTCAATCAATAATTCATTCTTTCAGCAAACTTAGTAAATGAATGACTCCTAGTGGCCAGGCGCTGTGCTGGGTAGGGGGAAGGATGCGAGGAGACGCTGTCTCTGTCCTCAAGTGGCTCACACACTGGAGGGAGACATGGAGCCTTCGTAAAGGTCAGTGCTCGGGGTGGGGAGCGGTGTGAAGAACCGAGGAAGGGCAGCCGGCACCTGCTGGAGAAGGGAGGGGGAGGCTTCCCAGAGGAGATGGTGTCACAACAGCATCTTTAGGACAGGCAGGGTGGCAGGTGAAGGGGCTGGGCACTAGGGGAGGTTTAGGATATCCAGGCAGAGGGAGCAGCACCTACAGAAGTTTAGAGGCAAGAGGGAGCGTTTGGGGAGGTACACGGGGTTCTGGATGGCGGGTGCACAGGAGGCAGTGCAGGGTTGGGGGTCAGACGGTGGGGAGGGCTAGTGTGCCAAGCTAAGGAGCAATGGGGAGTTAACGAATGATTCTGAGAAGCAACGTGATGCAATTAGATTTGTGTTTTAGGAAACACTTTGTGACTGCGTTGGGGCAAATGGATTTCTGGAAGGCCTGGATATTAGGAAACCTGCTGGGAGGCCGCTGTCCTCAGAGTTGAGAAATGAAGGGCTCAATATAGTTGATTGAGTCGGAGATAAGGGCAGATTCCCAGGGTGCCAGGAGCGAGGGATGGGGAGCAGTGAAGGGTGACTCCTGGGGTTCTTTCTGGCTCCGGTGAGGAGAAGCAGATGTGAAGGGAAGGAAGATGATGAGTCCTGTGTTGGACATGTTCGTGTGCAGTTCCTGGGGATCCCTCACACGGATCCGTGGAGCTTAGGACAGGGGGCTGGGCTGGATGTGGAGTTGGGAGTCATCACCTTGAAATCGTGGGTGTGAATTATGTCACCCCATGAGTGAGAAGTAAGAAAGTGGAAGGAATAAAGATAAGAATCTTGGGAACATGTAAGAAGTGAGAGGAAGAGCAGTAGACATAAGTTAAGAGAGAGTTCTAAGAAAGAGGCTAATAGTGTCAGATGCTGCAGAGAGTTCAAGAAAGACCAATGTCAAAGAAGATTCATTTGGATTTTGCTACAAGGAGGGATTGTTGACTTGGTTGAGTGGTGTTGGTGGATTGGGGTCGGGGGGTGGAAGCCCCCACCATGTGAAGAGTTTTCAGGAAGCTTGGTTGTGGGAGGAGGTGGATTTGTGTTTGTAATGGTTTGGAAGCATGTGTAAGTGATGTCTTCTGCCTGTGCAGTGGATTTAGGAATCCATGAGACACTTTTAGGATTTTTCTTTGGGATTTAAAATTTATATAGTATGCACTTCATAGGGCTTAACCCTTAAAGATCCTGCCTGGCCCTCATTTGCTTCTCTTCCCCGACACTGGTCTACAGTACTGGGCACAGGGAATGAAAGAGAGAAAGGAAGCCAAGAGCAGGGCAGGAAAGAGAAGAGAGGACCAGATAGTTTCTGAGGTTACTTCTAGCTGCAAAATTCCAAATCAACCCAGTGTTCCTTCTTCTGTGCCCTGCATTCAACCTGCTAGTGCAGGTGGAGAGCCTTATACCATTGTGTTGGTGCGGTCTCCTCCCTGCTTAGCTGTGTGGCCCAGAACAGCTGCCTCTTCCATCCCCAGCTGGTACTGTAATCCATTAGGCTTCTAAAACTCTCTCCACATTGCTGCATCCTGATCCTCTGCAGCAGCCCTCCTTTTCTGCTCAAAAGAGGAGACTGAAGGCATCAGGCAGGAACTCTGAATGCCTCTGCAGCCCCTCACCTCTTGCAACCCCCTCCTTCTCTCTGTCTCAGAGAAAGCGGTGTCCCTACTTCTCTCCAAGCTGGCCCTGCCAGCCTGGCCTTCTTGTCTTCTAACTTGCCCTTGAACTGTGGTTTCTGCAACACCACTCTTTACCCTAGGAACTTCCTTAGGCGACTTAATCTCCTCTCACAGCTTTAAAACTGCCACCACCGTGCCACTGCCCACAAATTCTCTATCTTGAGTCTAACCTATCTCCTGAGTTCTCAACCTTCTGGACATCCTCGCTTAGGGGGTTCCCTGGGACCTTCAAATATGACAGGTTAACTCATCTTTCATCACCTAAATCTGTTCCACCTTATGTATGCCAGTACTGGTTAATGGCATTAGCAGCCACTCAAACCATCAGTCTGGGAGAAAATGCCTAATTTCTCCTTATACCTAATCCTGTATATCCGTTAGTCAATAGACACTTTTTCTCATATCTCAGTACTTCTCCTGTGGGTTCCCTGTACACCATCCCCTCTGCCGTTGCCTTCGTTCAGCCTCGTTTCTTGCCTGGTCTTGCCATGGTCTTCTGACTGGCCTTCATCTGCCAGTTTCTTCTCTTCCAGCCTTTCTTCACATCACCACAAATCTGATCATGTTTCTTGTCTGCTTAAAACCTTTCAGTGGCTTAACTTTGCTTTCAAAATAAAATTCAGCTCCGTTTGCATCAGGCCCCTCCTGGTTTGATCCTTGCCCACCCTTCCAGCCTCAAACTCTTGCAAGCTTCCTCAGGCATCCTGTATCCCGCCCACCGGTCCTAAAGTTCTTGTAGGTCATCAACCGGCCAGCACTCTTCACACACACGCCTTCTCCCTCGGGTCAGCCTGGTGAACTTCTGCTCATCCTTCAAGATCAGTTGTGCTCATGACAAAGCCTGTGTAATTTGTCTGCAAAAAATGTATCATTTTTCACATCAACGTGTCAGCTTAGGGCCATGATATTCCTCATTTTTATGCTTTAGATGCTTCCTGGATACTATTATTACCTGGTCATGTTTAACTTCGGATAATTTAGTTTTATTCTCAGATCAATGACTTCCAAAATAATGAAGGATGGAATAGCCCTTTTATTATGAATTTAGATCTAGTACAACTAGAATCAAAATGCTGGGTTATTCTAATGGAATGTGAAAATTGACACAGTGACTGCAGATGTAAAAAGAAGAGCAGATAGAAAAGCATTTAGTTTGCATGTTTGTAAAGAATTTACTAGAATAAATGTGAGATCTTTTATATCAAAACCTCCCTGTACTACTCTGACTATGCACATCAGTCACCGTTGTGATGTACTTTTCCCTCTTTTCAGCAAAATTCTTGACTCCTCAGTACTTTGAGAGACTTACAGAAAAAAGAGGTACACAAAGGTTTCTAACAAGATTTGTAGGCATTGTTTTAAAGAGATAATAAGGAGGAGTTATGGTTGCCGCACAGAGAGTATGTTGAAATTAGTTGTAGGACTTTTCAGTAAAAATCAGGAGTGCTTAAACAATTTTAGAGAAATCTTCTGTTTCTTATTTTCATTTTTTAGGGGAAATAACACTGAGAAGAATAGAACTGTATAAAATGATCAAAATTCCAGGGGCTTTTTTTTTCCTTTTGTTTTTTTTTCTTGAGGTGGAATGTAGCTACAATTTATTATAATTCCTGTGAGCTCTCCATAAAAATATTTTTCACTCTTCTGATTTTTTTCAAAGTGGCCATTACTGCTACATCAACCAACCCTAGGAGTAGAGATGACTGCCAGGACACATTTTATTGCTCTCATGGGGAAAAACTAAAATATCTTATGACTCTACTCCCACAGCTACATTTTTCTCAGCCTTCAGTAGGAAACCTTTTGAATTTCTATCTGCTGACACTATTAACCAGAAGAACATTCCTGTGATTGCACAGTTTCAGAGCGCAACATCAGCAAAGGCCTGGGTATGGCAGCCAGCATAACACACAGTGAATCAGCTGCTTAGTTGTCTGTACATATTGCATAGGAGTATCCAGATGGACGAGGCTGCCACAGGCACCACCTAGATGGGAAAAATGATTCAACCAAGTTCCTTTGGTATTTATATTCACTTTAGAGTCCTGGAGAATGAACTGAAGCAGAGAGTTGGCTTTCTGGAGAGTGAGTCATTTACATAATATTTATAATTAATATCATTTTTTTTTCTCTGAGGAGGATTTGCCCTGAGCTAACATCTGTACCAATCTTCCTCTATTTTGTAAGTGGGTCTCTGCCACAATGTGGCTGCTGCCAAGTGGTGTAGGTCCGTGCCTGGGAATCGAACCCAGCCCACCGAAGTGGAGTGTGCTGAACTTAACCACTAGGCTATGGGGCCAGCCTTTAATTTATATAATTTATAATAAACAGAGACAGGTATACCTACTCCCTAATCCTCTGTCAAAAAGGCAAAAAGTTTTCTTTAAAAAAAACTCTTTTATATTGTGAAATGTGAAATGCATAAGCAGAAGTGTACAGAACAAAAATATGCTGCTTAATTAATGAACACAGAGCGTATACTTGTGTAACTGTTACTTTGGTCAAGAAAGAGAGTGAAGCCAGCTCCCCAGTCACTGCTGCATCCTTCCCTTTGCCCCCTTCGGTATGCACTGTCCTGCCTAAAAGCCTTTTAAAGTCGGTTTCTACTTGTTTTATGTGGGGTAGCCTAAGAGGAAGCAGAAGCATGGGCTTGGGAGGTGGGAGATGGGAGGTCTGAGGGCGGGTGCCAGGAGACGTTAGTCGGAACTGTAACATGGCATGGTTATCTGGATTTGTTACTGTTTCTCTCACAGGCTTCTAAATTTAGGCATCGACTAGAGCCTGTTGTAATATCTGCCATGCAGACTGCTCTTTGTAAAAGCTGCAATGATTCACTTCCCCCAGAGTGTGCTGACTTTTGAGCCACTCATTGGAAACTGACTCTGTGGAGCTGGTATGTATCTAATGCACCGTAGTAACTTGTTTCCACACAATTCCAGGACGTTAGCTTATTGCCAGTGGGTGGACAATCTCAATGAGACCCGGAAGATGCTCTCTCTTAGTGGTGGTGGTCCCTTCAGTAACCTGCTGAGGTGGGTCGTGTGCCACATAACGAAAGGAATTGTGAAACGCGAGATGCACGGCCACGGCATTGGCCGCTTCTCAGAGGAAGAGATTTACATGCTGATGGAGAAGGACATGCGGTCTTTAGCAGGGCTTTTGGGTAATGTACTATGCCTTCTATTCTATATTTTCTGTCCTTGCTGTTTGCATGATTAGTAAAGCACTGTTAGTTTACTGATTTAAAGTTTTATTTGGGATGGTTTCTTTGCTTCCATGTGTAGGTTGCAGTCTCATCGTTTAATCACATCCCCTAATTTTCAGCAGCATGTGTCTCTGTTCTTAATCACTGGTGTGATTAAGTCACTCGTGTAAAAACTAGTGACTGTTTTCAGTGCAGTGAGGCTCCGTGTGAAGAGAATAGAGAACACGGTGCAGCATTACTCCCTGGCTGTAAGTGATGCAGGCGTTTCTGAACGTGTTGTGAGCCAAGGGTGATTTTGAGCAAGGCAGCGCTTCTCTTTCTAAACAAGTCAGGGTGAAATGTCTGCTTGTGAACACATCTGCTCAGAAGATCCGACCGTGTACCCACTGACATCTGGATTCTGATGGCGCTGGTTCTGATCCCGTTCCATGTGCACACGCAACATCTGTCATTTTCTCTCCCCTTTGGTTGCCATTTGTAATCTTAGTCCTGTATTGCTAGTGTGTTTTAACTCTTCTGATTTTTTATTTACTGTGCACAGTGGGGTTAATTGTGCTTGGGAAGCCCCTCAAAGAGAAGCACAGAGTAGTGTACGTCCATGGGCGGGCGAGGATGCTGAGAGTAGAGTGACAGGCTCTTGCTCGCCTGGTTGCATGGAGGTGGCTGGGCAGATGTGATTCTGTACTGGGCAGAGCTTGAGCCTTAGATAAACAGATCATTTGAGTTCAGGAGTGTCTAAGTGTGAAATGATGGTTTCTCCTGGGGACAACTAACATAGAGGGACCCAAGCCCTCTCCGTGATTAGGTCGTAGGACCTAGTCCTTCAGGGCTGCTGATTTTGTCTGGGGAAGGTGGATTGTCACTGGCCCTCTCTCTCGGCACCCTCAGCTCCTTTCTGGTGCACATTAGGTACCTCACCTCCTCTGGGAAGTAAGGTTTGGGATTTGGTTTGTTGAAACCCAACTGGTGCCCCAGGAACTGGAGCCTGTGCTGGGTGTAACCTGTCCCCTGCAGGTGACTCGGTCTGACTCCACTCCAAATGCTTAGGGGACCTGGAGTCCTCCCCTGACCCTTGGCCTGCAGGTGGAGATCCTGACAGCACGTCCAGCCCTTGGCCACCTTTGTTATGGGGGGTGGGTTTGATGCTGGCTGGGCTCGTCTTCTAAACAGACATTCAAAAGCCCTGCCCAGCTTGAGGATTGATGCTGTCTGGACCTTCTGTACTTCGACTCCCTCGGCCCAGGTGGGCCTGATGACATATGGGTGGGTGGAATTAGCCTCAAGTTTACTTTGTCCCTTTGACAACTTAGTACTGCACTTTTGGCCTCACAGAGCAGGTGCACAGAGGGCCATTTCCTCCTTAGCAATGGCTCTGCTCCTCGCTCCCCTCCCTTCCTCACCAGCTCATGCTGTTGGGAGCCCCAGTTAGCCAGGAGCTGAGCCCCCAAAGTGGTGATGAAGATTATGCCACTAACGTACTGCTCATCTCTAACAGCTTAAAAGTGTTGGTTCCTTAACCAGAGAGGGGTGATCATTACCTGTCTGGAGCGTTTTTGCTTTGGGAGAACCAGGGAGCCTGGTGATAGCAGTAACAGTGATAACACCAGTGTTTCTCTGGCATTTAATGACTGGGAAAAGATGCTTTCTCCTCAATTATGGTGAGATGGGGGTAAATGCATGACTGATAGCTAGGCTGGATATCAGATAAGTGTTCAAAAAAGTATCACAAGTCTAGATGATTTTCTGCAATGAGAAACTGAGTGAGTTACTTGAAAAGCTGGAGTTCGCTGGAGTTCTCGGCCCCCATATTCTGTATGTGGGCTCAAGGAGGGGTCTAGCTTTGAACTCTCTCATAAGAGAAGTACCTTTTCTGCATTTGGGGAGGGAGAGGCTCTTTGGCTGAACATCATAGTTTTTCTTACTAAATGAGGCAAAAAGCATCTCCTTCCTCCTCACCCAGGGGTATGGCTTGCTTTTAAAGTCCAGACACCTAAGAGACTCTAAATGCAAAAGGATTTTTGTTGAGATAGTTCAAGATTTGTGGAAATTGTCCAGGGATGTATTTGACCCATCAGGATAAATTATTGATGTTTCAGTTTGGTAAACTTCAATGACTGGAACACCTTCTATGTGCCAGGAGCTGGGGAATATGAAGATGAGTCCAGTCCAGTGGAAGAGATGAAGCTCTAAGCCAGAAGGAGGCAAATTAGAGCCTATAGCTAGTTGCCTGTTTTGTTTGTTTCTTTCTTTTTTTATGGCCTGTGAGCTAATAATGGTTTTCACATTATTAGAATGTAAGGAAAAAATACAGTAGAGATCAAATGTGGCCTGGAAAGCCTAAAATTTTTACCGTTTGCCCCTCCATGGGTGAAGTTTGCTGACCTGTGCTCTAAGTGAGTAACCGTGCACAAGGGGGCTGTGGCAGGGCGCCGGCAGAGTCTACACTCGGTGCTCTGGGCACACAGCAGGAGCAGTGGTGAGATGGCAGGGAGCTCTCAGGAGGGCTGTAGAAGAGGCGCGGTTGTGTTGGCCCAAGAAAGTAAACAGCTGTCCCAACGAAGACAGTAAGGAAGGACCTTGCAGGCAAATCATGAGAAAAGGAGTCATGAGTGGGGGACGTTTGGAGTCATGGTTGAAATGAAGATTAAAAGGTAGTTTGAGGTCGTATTATAAAGGGTAATAGTTATGCTAAGAGATATGTACTTCATCATGCAGACAGCATGGAGGTGTTGCAGGTTTCTGAGTCTGAGAGAGAAAGAGCCATCTTTGTGGTTTAGAAAAGTGGCTCTGTTGGTGTCATGGAGGATGGATTGGGCCTGCTGTGTGCGGGTAAAGAGAGACTGAAGATAGGCAGTAAATGTCTGTGGGTGTGGTTTAAAAAATTCTAGTTAAAATAAAAATTAAATTTAAACTAAATAAAAATGAGTTAATTTTAATTTTGATATATTAAAAAAAAGACTCTTCATCCAGAGCAAGTAGAAACCGAATAGAAAATATGATTTGATGATATAAAATACATTAACAATATTTATTATGATAGCTAGGAGAAAAATAATAATTCTCTCAGCACTGAAAAGGCATTTGACAATGAAATTTAGTATCCATTCCTGATAAAAACGCTTGGTAAAAAGAGACTCAAAGACCAGTTCCTTAAGATGATGAAAGAGTACTAAGCCAGCAGCCAGTGTCATCCTTAATGTGGGGCCACTAGAAACATCTCCAGTAAAGTGAAATACAAGACAAAGATTCTTGCTCTCATTATTATTTGATGTTGTTTCGGGAGAGCCTGATGATGTAGTTGGACAATATGAAAAAAGACTACATCTTCATGTTGGAAGGAAGAGACAAAATTATTATTTATAAAAATGAAGAGATTAATTAGGTAGCTAAAATAATGGAGAATCAACTACAGTTATTACTAATAACTCTATTATAATAACTATTACTAATTAAATATTAGTAATTAATGGGAGAGTTCAGTAAGTTTACAAAGATTATAGACATGTAAACATCTACAGTTTTCTTGGCTATCTCTAATAACCAATTAGAAATTAATAACTAAAAAATTCCATTCACAACAGTAATAAAAATTAAAAATATTAGAAATATGTTTTACAAGAGATATTCAGGACCTACAGAAATAAATTAAACAATCCTAATAAGAGATGGAAAGTGTTTTAGAAAATGGAGAGTGTACCTTCATTCATTCGCTTATTAATTCATTTGAGAGTGATGACTGTGGAGCCAGAGGCCAACCCCAGCTCCATCACTTACTAGCTCTGTGACCTCCGTCACATTTCTTAACTTCTCCAGGGCTCAGTTTCCTTATGTGTAAATGGGGATAGTAATGATGAGAAGAAAAGTAGTACATGTAGAGTGCTCAGAATAGCGCCTGGCATGTAGAAAGCAGTATATTTGCAACATGCAAATATAAAATACAACTGGGAAGAGGGTCAGGAAGGAGAGGTTCGAGGTGCTGGGAGAGCCTATAATGAGGGGGCTGCCTAGTGGTCAGTGCTAGTCCCCATTTGGTTCTGCGTGTTCCCACGCCCCATTCAGGAAGGTGTGTGTGTTTAAAGCGGAGATATTATATGTGTAGTGGATGTCTGATTTTCACCTCATGCAAGAAGTGCACACATTGTCTTTTTCCATCATCCTTCCCAAAGGGGAGTCAAAAAGAGCATGGAGGATGTAAAAATCAAGGACAAAAAAGGTTGGGTTTTTGGGAAGCATTGTGGCTGGAGGCAGATGCCCTGGGTTCATACCTTGGACTCCGCCACTTTCCAGCTGTGTGACTTCACATGAATAGCTTGAGTTCTTTCATCTGCAAAATGAGGGTCAGAACAATACCTGCCTCATAGGATGGGTGCATCATAGAGTGTGAGGACTAAATGAGATAATTTATTTAGTGTACTTACTGCAGTGTCTGGTGCATAGTAAATGCTAAAGAAGTATTAGCAGTTATCACTATCACTTTCACAGATTTTTGTGTGTAATACAACTTCATTAGGAATATTGTTTTCCAGGAAAAAAAGTCTTTGTGAAAAAAACCCCTTTTTTCTGATTTTTAGACTTATTATTTTAAACTTAATAGTTAATTGTAGAAATTTAGGAAAGTTTAGAAAAGCACAGAGAAGGAAAATAAGTCACTGTAATCTTATAAGCTATTGCTAACACAATTACCATTTCAGTGCATATCTTTCCAATATTTTTATGCATAACTTTGAATCATATATATGTCTACATGTGTGTTTGTGTACACACATATATAATTTTCAAACCTTTTTCCTCACTGAATATATTGCAGATATTTTCTTCTATTATTAAGTATACCATACAATTCTATGTGCCTGGTACCATACTTGTTGCCATAAAAACTGACATAAGGCTCATGAGCAAGAACCCCACTTTTTCTACTGCCTCTTTTATATTTCTGTTCTATTATTAATCCTGAGTCT